ACTGCTTCTACTCTTTCATAATCACTCTTTTAGTAAACACAGTATCACTTCTTTTACAGTAACATTAATTCAATAAACATTTAGTTTTGGGGTAACAGTAGTAATAATTGTACCAAACATCTCTTCATCTCTTTTAATTCTTTGCAGTTTGCCAGCTCCATTGGGAATTCCTCAGAGCTGGATACAGTGTTCTGCAGACATTCATCTTTTATGCCAGTGAGGACAAACTAGAGAACAGGGACAATTATGTAGATGAGAAAATAAGTGTGAGTAAAATACTATTTTGATGGAGATCTGAACTAAGTGGATTAATTTCAAAATGTCTAGTAGAAAGAATTATTTAGTATTTTCAAAGTTTGTCATAACAGTTTTGGTTATATTTGAGGACCAAAGAATGAGATGATGCAATTTCAGAATTTGGAATAGTAGGAAAGGCAAGGTTAAAGGAGAAAAAATACCATAATGGGACAAGAATGAAGAGAGGAAAAAGGATCTTATTTTTCCCACCAGAGAAGATCATTTACTAGACCTTTGATACAATTTATAGGGAGGACTAAATGCACAGAGAGCAAAATCAATTGAAAAAAAAGAAATGCTTTAACATCCAGAGAAACAAATCAACTGCAAAAATACTGAAGAACCCTAGAGAATAATGACTGTCTAATAAGAACTCAGTGGTTTTTAGAACCATGTCTTCAATAAAGTAACAACTAAGAAATCCAAGTTATACACTGTGGACAGTATTTTCCTTCTCATGTGTAAGGATAATCTGGTACAGTAACAGAAGTACCATGTTGGTGTTTTTTTATACCCTACACAGAGGAGCTGAAGAATGTTGGGTGCCTTCATTAGATGCAGGCCCCATCTCTACTGGGACTTCTGGCACAAACATTTCTAGATAGTTCCTTTGAGACTAGAAGGCAAGTACAAAGGCAAGTGTTAGATTCTGCACCTGAAACAGGGGAATCCTGGATACACGTATAGACTAGGGAACAAGACACTGGAGAACTGCCCTGTGGAAAGGGATCTGGGGGTTCTGATTGATGGCAAGTTGAATATGAGTCACCAGTGTGCCCTGGCAGCCAAAAGGGCCAACCATGTCCTGGGGTGCATCAGGCACAGCATTGCCAGCTGGTCAAGGGAGGTGACTGTCCTGCTCTACTCTGCACTGGGGCGGCCCCACTTCAAGTACTGTGTGCAGTTTTGGGCACCACAATATAAGAAAGATATTAAGCTATTAGAGAGCATCCAAAGGAGGGCAATGAAGATGGTGAAGGGCCTAGAGGGGAAGCCTTATGAGGAGCTGCTGAGGTCACTTGTTCTGTTCAGCCTAGAGGAGACTGAGGGGAGACCTTGTAGTGGTCTACATCTTCCTCATGAGAGGAAGCCAAGGGGCAGATACCAATCTCTGCTCTCTGGTGACCAGTGACAGGACCCAAGGGAACAGCGTGAAGCTGTGTCAGGCAAGATTTGGGTTGGATATTACGAAAAGGTTCTTTACCCAGAGGGTGGTTGGGCACTGAAACAGGCTCCCCAGGGAAGTGGTCACAGTACCAAGGTTGCCAGAGTTTAAAAAGTGTTTGGACAACAGTCTCAGGCACATATCCAACTCAGGATATTCTCTGATTCTATGAATTATAAGAACCAAGTGAGACATAAAATCATAGAATATGCTGAATTGGAAGGGACTCATCAGGATCATCGAGTCCAACTCCTGGCCCCATGCACGATTCCCCAAGAATCACACCATGTGCCTGAGAGCACTTGTATATAGATCAGCCACCCTGCATGTTATCCTGACCTTTAAAAGAAAAATCCCTATATTGTTCAAAACTATACAGAGCAAATATACAGAAAAAGGAAACCTTTTTTTATTCTATGACACTGTGTTAATACAATAAATAGACAAAGCTTCTGAACTACTCAAACATGCAACAGAGGAACAGAAGTGCATTTGTAGAGAACTATGACATTCACCAGGATGGCAGAGCATTGTTAGTAATTTACAAAATATACAAACATCCCCAAGATAAATAAAACCAACTCCTAAATTACAGATCAATGACTACAGACATTCCAGTGTTTAAACTTTGTACTCAGTTTTCCACAATACTACAAAATGACAACTTAAGTGGGCACCATATTCTGATTAATTAATAAGAGGTTGTAAAATCTAGTTTTGTTAGGTACAAAATATTCTAATAAATATCAGCCTTCTGTTGTCAAAGCTAAACTCAAACTTCTCTCTCACTTTTGGGCTGCAAAGCATCAGAGATTTCTGGTTTAAATAATTCATGTGTAACTGAACCTTGAATTTCACTTAGGAGGTTAAAATCTGTACATTCAACCCATGACATTACAAATCAACAATATCTATATATAGAACATTAAATATGTTTTCCCAAAGAACAGTTAAACATTTGTGTGTGTGGGGGGAATCTACCTGTCAAATTCAGGTTTTATTCCTAATGTTTCTTCCATAATATATTCTGGTAACGTATGTTATTATGCAATCTTTAAATTGCAAGGATGATGTCCCTAGGATTCATAGCCAAGAGATATCCAAGAGAATTGCTTAAATTTAAAAGTAATCCATAGTAGAGTTCCTAGATACAACCTTCAAGTTAATTTAAAAAGATTATGAAAAGAACAATTTTGATATACAGCTGTTAGAGGTGTGATGCCTGATCTTGAGAAAATTGTGGCTTCTGTCTGGAAAGTATTTAGAATCATAGAATCATAGAATAGATTGGGTTGGAAAAGACCTCCAAGATCATCAAGTCCAACCCCTGATCCAACTCCAATTACTATATCATGGCACTAAGGGCCACGTCCAATCTCTTTTTAAAAACCTCTAGGGATAGTGAATCCACCACCTCTCTGGGTAGGCCGTTCCAATGCCTGATAACCCTCTCTGTAAAGAATTTCTTCCTAACATCTAACCTAAACCTCCCCTGGCAGAGCTTGAGCCCATGTCCCCTTGTCCTATTGTTGGTTGCCTGGGAGAAGAGACCAACCCCCACCTGGCTATAACCTCCCTTCAGGTAGTTGAAGAGAGTGATGAGGTCACCTCTAAGCCTTCTCTTCTCCAGACTGAACAACCCCAGCTCCCTCAGCCTCTCCTCATAGGACTTGTGCTCCAGTCCCTTCACCAGCCTCGTTGCTCTTCTCTGGACCCGCTCCAGCACCTCAATATCCTTCCTGAACTGAGGGGCCCAGAGCTGAACACAATACTCAAGGTGTGGCCTCACCAATGCAGAGTACAGGGGAAGGATCACTTCCCTGCTCCTGCTGGCCACACTGTTCTTGATGCAGACCAGGATGCCATTGGCCTTCTTGGCCACCTGGGCACACTGCTGGCTCATGTTCAGCCTCCTGTCGATCAGCACCCCCAGGTCCCTTTCCGCCTGGCTGCTCTCCAGCCACTCTGTGCCCATTTAATAACATTCCACACAAATTTAAGTTCAATGATAGCATGTCCACTAGTATAGAATTTTAGAGACCCTATTACATAGAATATTTAAATTACTTTTAACTTCATGATGAAGAGAATATTTAGAAGCAAGTATATTCATTAATATGAACTTCAGCATAGGTGAAACTACTACATTTATCCAAATTCAAGATGGATTTAAAGAAACTGGTAAAAGAAAGGATACTAATAGGGACTTCATGGTAACAGTACAGTCCTGACTGGGGGATTAAGCTAAAGGTTTTCTTTTTTGTAATACTCTTATGCTATTATAAATATACTGCAGTGAAAAAGAATTTATCTATGAAAGTCTGTTCACATTCAGAACATGAATTTTATGCTCAGTCTTACTAAAGGTAACTCACCCTAAGAGCTGAATTCCTTCCAGCTACAGTGTGTACTTATACAGGTTGTGGGATGTGGTCCCTTCCTGTTTTAATTACCTAAAACAGAGTTAAAAAAAAAAGCCCAACTATTGTGCATAAGACTCATGAGGCAATCCAAGAATATCAAATAGCCTTCAAAGGAGAGAAATGTTGCTTTATAATAAGACATGATTCAATTCTAGAATATTTTGATAGTATGCACCATTATGGACTGTTCAGTTCCACAGCACCAATTAAACCTCTTAGGACTCCAGTTCAATGAGCTAAAATTAACTTTGTGAAAGATGAAGATTTCTCACTTTTCAAACTCAAAATAGTTTAAAAGCTTTCCCCCCCCAGCTTAAATCAAATCACATAAATGGTTGAGTTATGTTAAAATGAATGCATGTATCTGTTAAGTGCCATTGCTTAAAAAGTTTTATTTTAGAAAATTAAATACTGTATATTTAGATTTTTGGACAAGCAGTAAACATTGTGACTGATAAGGCTAGAGATTTAGTACCACTGTTAAACACAAATCTACACATCCCAAACACAACAAAAATACCACTGCTTGTAAGAGAGAAGGGTGGCACAAAACTAGGGTTCTAAAGGTCAATATTTTTTTCTTTTCCAACAAAATGACTACCTCAAGACATGAATACTGAAATTAAAACTAGTAAATATATAATCATTTAGCTCTGTGATTGAAACCATCAGTTAACTTCCTTAAACTATAGACTGCAGTACACACTCTATTAAAGACAACATTTCTGCACCATAGCAACTTCTCACAGATAGAGAATACTCCATGAAAATAGATACAAACAAACACTATAATGCAGCACAGGCAAATTTTGGACCAAAACACTATTTAAACAAGATCAGATAACAGTATTCATGCAAACTTACATGTTTATATCAAAAGACTTATCCTAAAAATAAAACCAACATAATTTATATCTATCGTACTTGTATTTGTCCTCCAGCAGATGCTGAAATTGCAAAAGCAGTAGCCAAACCTAAACTTCTACATCTCTCAGTCTCCCCCACTTATAGCAGAAATAGGGAAAACAGTTCTTACAAAGAAAAAAAAAATGGATCCAAAGTCCTTTCCTGAAGTTAAAAAGAAATACCAGAGTGAACCACTAAAACCCCCTCCAAATTCTTAATATATTTATTTGATCATTATATACCACAATTCATTCTCAGGCCAATTGTTGAAATTATTTATCTTCCCTAAATAAGGAAAGTTTTATATTCCAAAATGCAACATTTTAAAGAAGCACAGAGAATGGTTATCTTTTTAAAAGAAATAAATTTATTATAAAATAAACCAAACATTTCCCATTTTACCTATGCACTGCTGCAGAAGAAACAAACATGCTGTGTGCATTTTGATATATGTTTTTAGAGAATATAATAAGTGACTGGAAAATAAAGTACAATGGAAGAGAACCGTCATTACTTTTTATATTTCTCTACATTCAGTTACCCTTGAACACATTCTGAGCTCCACTGGTTGCTGCTGTTGATGCGACGTTGGCTGCAGCAGTTTGTACAGTTTTGTTGGACATCACTCCTGTTGCAAACTCCTGCTGTGCTTTCTCAAAACTAGCACCAGTTGTGCGGTAGAGACCATGTACCTAGGGAGGTGGAAAAGCAGTGAAAAAAGTGTGCTGAGCCTTCCATTTCTTGGTAGAGTAATAGCAAAGTCTCAAACACAAAGTAGAGCTGTGTGGTGGAAAAATATGATTTGCTCATATGTTTGGAAGGATCTGAAAATGAGTAAACAGATTTTTTTTCCCCCCACAAACTCTACAACTTCCGACTGCCCTGCTGTCCATGCAGTTTGACTGTAGGGATGCCTGTAACTTTTTGCAAGTTTATGTGTGTGCTATCTACTATCTGAAACAACACATTTAAATACACAAATAGGTTGAATCCTTAGCATAAGGCGTGATAAGTGTGCATGTTTAAAGCAACAGTAGGAAATAAAAAAAAAAAAGTATTTTTGAATTTACAGTGTAACATTCTGTTGAACTTTTTTGTACATTAAATTTTTAGAAACATCTTAATTGCACTGATTGACATAGTTGCAAGAACCTATTAAGCTAAGCTATGACTGAAAATTTGTCCTGGTTTCAGCTGGGATAGAGTTAATTTTCTTCTCAGTAGCTGGTACAGTGCTGTGTTTTAGATTTAGTAAAGAATAATGTTGAGAACACACTAATGTTTTGGTTGTTGATGAGCAGTGCTTACCCTGAGTCAAGGACTTTTCAGTTTCCCATGCTCTGCAAGTGAGGAGGTGCACAAAAAGCTGTGAGAGCATAGCCAGGACAGCTGACCCAAACTGGCCAAAGGAATCTTGCATACCATGGAACATCATGCCAAATATATAAACTGAGGGAGTTGACCAGGAGGGGATGATTGCTGCTCAGAGACAGGCTGGACATTGATCAGTGGGTGGTGAGCAATTGTATTGTGCATGACTTATTTCTCTTGAGTTTTATTCCTCTCTCTCCTTTTCATTAGTTATTATTATCATCATTATTATTGTATTTTATTTTGTTTCAATTATTAAACTGTTCTGATTCTCCTTCCCACAGAGGGTATGGGGAGAAGTGAGTGAGCAACTGCATGGTACTCAGTTGCTGGTTGGGGTTAAACCAGGACAACATTAAAAAGTATAAAATATCCCAATAACACAGATAAATATCCACTATACTAATGTGATGAGCAATTGTTCTGTATAACAAACAAAAGTATTAAACAATATGTCTTATAATCTCTAGTACAAAAAAACCCCAACCAAATCCTGAGTAACTTCCAAGTATCAAGTATTAAAATTCAAATACTATTTCTGATTCATATTTAATCAGGTTGCAGGGAGTGCCAGAGCCTGGCACTGGTATTAGATGGCAGTACAGACAACAGTTCTCTGAGGTGCAACGAGGTGGATGATCTGCTCAGCCTGGTGGCAGAGGTGAGAGCAGAAGTAGAAAGGCTAAGAAGTATTAGGGACTCTGAGGAGGAGACTGACTGGTGGAGCTGTACTCTATATCATCCCTTAGACAAATGCACATGCTGTGCACATCACAAGAAGCAACGGATCCCCTGCTTTCTCACCATCAGGCAGGAGAGGACCTTAGGGACGGAGGGTAATGGAAACAGGTTTCTGCTTCAGGCAGCAGGCGAATCCCCTCCTGACCTACCTCATCTTCCCAGGTGCCCTTATACAATAGGTATGAGACTCTGGAACTTGAGGGTCAGGGAAATGAGAATGTGGATGAAGGTCCATCCAGGCTGGAGGGGTAGCCTAAGGCAGGGCAGTCTACCCCTGCATGGCAATCACTTCAGTTAAGAAAAAAAGAAGGGTAGTTGTCATTGGTGACTCCCTTATGAGAGGAACAGAGGACCCGATATGCTAACTGGACCCAACCCATAGGGGCCCAAGTAAGGGACATAACCAAGAAATTTCCCATCCTGGTATGGCCCACTACTGGTTTTCCAGGTAGGCAGCAACAAAGTCCCAACAAGAAGTCTGCGGACAATCAAGAGGGACCTTAGGGTCTCGGGATGATTGGTTGAGGGATCTGAAACACAAGTAGTGTTCTCTTCTGTCCTGTCAGTTGCAAGGAAGGATGGGGAAAGAAACAGGAAGATCGTACAGATGAATACCTGGCTTTGAGACTGGTGTTACCAGCAGAATTTTGGGGGTTTTAATTATGGGTTGGTTTACATGACACAGAGCCTGATGGCAACACATGGGGTCTCAAAGGGGAAAAAGGATCTTGTCTCAGGAGTTAGCAGGGCTCCTAGACAGCTTTAAACTAGATTGGAAAGGGGACAGGGATAAAGCCAGGCTTCACAGAGATGAACCTGAGGGTGGCACACCACTGCTTGAAGGATGGTGTGCTAGCAAGGTCCTTTGGTCTACCATATCAGTGGAGGTAGGGGATGAAGATCCATACAGCAGCAAGGATGCAGGGGTTATTGATGTTAGAAATCCCATAAGTACCTGAGAATGGTCACACAGGAATTAGGCCTTTTCCCTGCAAAAAGGCAGCAGGGTCATTAGCCCAACTGAAGTCCATCTACACCAATGCACACAGCATGGGCAACAAAGAGGAGGAAATGGAAGTCATTGTGCAGATGGAAAACTATGACATTGTTGCTATCATGGAAACATGGTGGGATGACGCACAACTGAAATGCTGCAATGAGTGGTTAAAAACTCTCCAGAAGGGATATGCAAGGAAGAAGGGACAGTGGGGTAGCCCTGTATGTTAGGGAGTGTTTTGACTGTCTAGAGCTTAATGACGGAGATGAAAGGGTTGAGTGTTTATGGGTAAGAATCAGGGAGAAGGCCAACAAGGCAGATCTCCTGATGGGAGTTTGTTATAGATGACCCAACCAGGATGAAGAGGCAGATTAAATATTCTATAAACAGCTGGGAGAAGTCTCACCATCGTTAGCCTTTGTTCTCATGAGGAACCTCAATTTACCAGATGTCTGATGGAAATACAGCACAGCAGAGAGAAAACAGTCCAGGAGGTTCCTGGAGTGGGTGGAAGAGACCTTCCTGACACAGTTGGTGAGCAAGCCAACCAGGGGAGGTGCCCAGCTGGACCTGCTGTTTGTGAACAGAGAAGGACTGGTGGGTGATGTGATGGTGGAGTCCATCTTGGGCACAGAGATCACAAAATGACAGTTTTTGATTCTCAGAGAAGTAAGGAGGGGGGTCAGCAAAACTGCCACCTTGGACTTTAGAAGGCAGACTTTGGTCTGTTTAGGAAACTGGTTGAGAGAGACCCTTGGAATGCAGTCCTGAAAGGCAAAGGAGTCCAGGAAGGCTGGAACATGCTTTAAGAAGGAAATGTTAAAGTTACAGGAACAGGTCACCCCCACGCGCCAAAAGACAAGCCAGCAGGGAAGAAGACCAGCCTGGCTGAACAGACAGTTTTGACTGGAAATCAGGAAAAAAGAGAGTTTACCACCTCTGGATAAAGGGGCAGGTAACTCAGGAGGACTATAAGGATGTCATGAGGTCATGCAGGGAGAAAATTAGAAGGGCCAAAGCCCAGTTATAACTTAACATGGCCACTGATGTAAAAGACAACAAAAAGTGTTTCTACAAATGCATCAGCAACAAAAGGAGGGCCAAGGAGAATCTCCATCCTTTATTGGATGCCGGGGGAAACAGTGACAAAGGATGAGGAAAAGGCTGAGGTACTTAATGTCTTCTTTGCCTCAGCCTTCAATAACAAGACCAGTAGTTCTCAGGGTACCCTAGCCCTCTTAGCTGGAAGACAGAGACGGAGCAGAATGAAGCCTCCATAATTCAGGAGGGAATGGTCAGCAACCTTCTATGCCACTTAGACCTGCACAAGCCCATGGGGTCTGATGGGATTCACCCAAGAGTACTCAGGGAGTTGGCAGAACTCACCAAGTCCCTTTCGATCACTTTCCAGCAGTCCTGGGTTACTGGGGAGGTCCCAGTTGACTGGAGGTTAGAAAATGTGATGTACATCTACAAGAAAGGTTGGAAGGAGGATCCAAGGAACTACAGGCCTGTCAGTCTGACCTCAGTGCCAGGGAAGGTCATGAACAGATCATTTTGAGTGCCATCAGGCAGCACATATCAGGTCCAGTCAGCATGGGTTTATGAAAGGCAGGTCCTGCTTGACCAACTTGATCTCCTTCTATGACAAAGTGACCTGCTTAGTGGATGAGGGAAAGACTGTGGATGTGGTCTACCTAGACTTTAATAAAGCCTTTAACATCGTTTCCCACAGCATTCTCCTGGAGAAACTGATTTTCCATGGTGTGGATGGGTATACTCTTCACTGAGTAAAAAACTGGCTGGATGGCTGGGCCCAGAGAGTGGTGGTGAAGGGAGTTACATCCAGCTGGTGGCCGGTCATGAGTGGTGTTCCCCAGGGCTCAGTATCGGGGCCAGACCTGTTTAATTTCTTTATCAATGATCTGGAAAAGTAGATCGAGTTCACCCTAAGCAAGTTTACAGAATCACAGAATATGCTGAGTTGGAAGGGACCCACAAGGATCATCGAGTCCAACTCCTAGCCCTGCACAGGACCATCCCCAAGAGTCACACCATGTGCCTGAGACCATGCACCAGAGTATTGTCCAAATGCTTCTTGAACTCTGTCAGGCTTGGCGCTGTGACCACTTCCCTGGGGACCCTGTTCAGTCAGTGCCCATCCACCCTCTGGGTGAAGAACCTCTTTCTAATATACAACCTAAACCTCCCCTGACACAACTTCAGGCCATTCCCTCAGATCCTGTCACTGGTCACCACAGAGATCAGTGCCTGTCCCTCCTCTTCCCCTCACGAGGAAGTTGTAGACTGCAATGAGGTCTCCCCTCAGTCTCCTCTTCTCCAGGCTGAATAGACCAAGTGACCTCAGCCACTCCTCATACAGTTTCCCCTCAAGGCCCTTCACCTTGATGGGTCTTGGTCAATTGTATGAGATTCAATAAGGCAAAGTGTCAGATCCTGCACTTGGGTCACAATAACACCATGCAACGCTACAGACTTGGAGAAGAGCAGCTGGAAAGCTGCTCAGTGGAAAAGGGTGCTGTTTGAAAGCTGGTTGAACATGAGCCAGCAGTGTGCCCAGGTGGTCAAGAAAGCCAGTGGCATTCTGGCTTTTATCAGAAATAGTGTGACCAGCAGGACTAGGGAAGTGATCATTCCCCTGTGCTCAGCACTGGTGAGGCCACATGATAAAAGCTTGTGTTTAGGTTCTGGGCCCCTCACTACAAGAAAGACATTGAAGTGCTGGAGTGAGTCCAGAGAAGGGCAACAAAGCTGGAAGGGGCTGGAGCATAAGTCTTGTGAGGAGCAGCTGAAGGAACTGGGGTTGTTTAGCCTGGAGAAAAAGAAGCTCAAGGGGGTCCTTATCTCTCTCTACAACTACCTGAAAGGAGGTCGTAGTGAGGTGGGTGTCAGTCTCTTCTCCCAGGTAACAAGTGACAAGATGAGAAGAAATGGCCTCAAGTTGTACCAGAGGAGGTTTAGATTAGATATTTGGAAAAATTTCTTCACAGAAAGGGTTGTAAAGCATTGAAGCCGACTGCCCAGGGAAGTGGTAGAGTCACCATCCCTGAAAGTGTTCAGAAAACATATGGATATGGTACTTGAGGACATGGTTTATTGATGAACATGGTGGTGGTGCTGGGTTGACGGTTGGACTTGATCTTAAAGGTCTTTTCCAACCTTAATGATTCTATGATTCTATAAATGTAGCAGGAAAATTCATGTTGTAACTTTTTTTGTTGTTATAAACGTCATCAGATCATATCTGAGTATACATGTTTTTTTGAAAAGAATCCAGATGCATGTCTGGAGTGTAAAAAATGCTCACCATATATATTTCTCATTTCTTTTGATGCCTTTGGATTTTTAGGATTTTTAGCTTTTTGTAGGTTTTAAAGTAGCTGTGTAGTAAATGTAGATTTTTAGTATAATTATATAGTCTGTCACTTTAGAATTGTAGTTTACACTTTCCCAACCCTATTACTCTATTTCATATCAAATTTTCTAAATTCTTTAAGTTTGTTTAGACTCCTTTCAAGGCAGGCCTTCATTCTGTTTAACATACACACCCCAGGCCTGAACAACAAGATACCATCATAGTCAAAGCAACCTTCGATCCCAGAACCTTGGAGAAGCTCCAAAAGACAGTAGGTGCCATGAAGAAGAGGAAAAATGAGGAAGGACAGGGGTCTTAGGACCTCCATCTCAATTTCCGGGGAGGTGTGCCAGGGGGGCAGATCTGGGGACGGGTGGTTCTTGGATCGGACCATAAATTGTGGAACCCCTGGACACGGGTGGTGCATGCGCCATGTATACTCCTTGCATGAGAAGGCCTTCAGTAAAGGACTGCTCCTTATCTCTATACTAAATTTGCCTGGAGTCTTTTTTGGCTCTTGATCTTAAGGTAACAGTTTCTTTCTCTTATACCTGAGTATTTATGCAAAAATCAAACAAGGAGAAGGGAAGTTTCTACCTTACTGTAAATAGGCCAGTAGAGTTTGGGTACATGAAAACCTTCAAGTGTAACTGTAACTGAGGTTGAATTATTAGAATTACCAGCACATCAGTAGCAGAATTCTCAGTTACATTTAATCAAAACAACATAAAATACTTACTAGAATATTATTATCTAAACTGAGGTCTTCTGGATGGAAATTCACAAAAAGAAACCAAGGGAGAAAAGCATCTGAGCTTTTATGCTATGCAATCATTAATTGACAGCAAAATGTTAAAATAATACAGAGAAATAAAAATCCTTTTCCGAGGTGCCAGGCATCTCACTCTCCTATTGATTTTAATGGGAATGATTTTTATATGAGCTGAAACTTAGCAATCATTTGAATCATGCTTCACTCAGCCTGATGAATAACCACAGATTTGAAAATTGCAATCTTGCATCTACAGGTCCCTATCTTAGTATCCAGTGCATTCACCTACCCTTTCATTGGGGGCTCACCTCCCAACTTCTCTTATTCAAAGCTATCCTTCCCCATTTTAGTTTGCAGAAATAAGTGCACTGTTAAAACAGCATTTCATAATTCCATGACAGTATAAGCAAAAAAGTACTACTTAAGCACAGTTGTTAAAAGGTAAGGCACAGGTACATGCCCAAGAATATAATTTAATCCCCATTACTTTCTGAGCGAGTACCTCTCAAGCAGGAAAGTAAATTCCAGAACACAGAAAACAGAAGAGGGGAATAATAAGTAACTTACCTTTTTAAACATAACTAATGAAATAACAGCAGATGCTGTGAAAAGTGAAGTTATGATTATCATCATAATGCCAACAGGGATACTCTTATTAAGACCAGTAAGAGATGAAATCCACCCACTGAAGAAAAAAGAAAAGACAAACTTGACTAGCACAGCACATGAACCATTCAACCACAGGTATCCACATCAAGGGAAGTTTTACAATATCCTGGTTCTGATCAACTGAATATTTTTGAAGAAAAACTAATGAAAATTATACATGAGCATATTTCTGTTCTATAATAAGCTTTTATAGCTTAGTTGCAATTTTCCCAACACATGCAATGAAACTATAAGGAAAATTTTAGCAAAGATGATTATTCTTGAGGAGAGCTGTGAAGAAATTAAGAAAGACAGTAGAGAGTTGCTCATCAACTTCTTGGGTTTTTTTTGTCATACTGTCATTTCAGAATAATTTAAGGCTACATAACTTTGTGGAAGAGAAAATTTCCCTAAAAAGATAGCGTCTAACTTCTTCAAAAAGAAAAGAAAAAATATGGCACACACACAGAGCTTCTGTGGGAAAATTAATTTCATTGTATCCACACAGTGATGCTTCCTCAATTGGGGTTAATATATTTTTTTTAAGTAGATAGTGTCAGATTAAGAGAACAGATTGCTATATCAGTATCTACTTCAAATATTTCCCCATTCTTCAAATTTGAAACATCAACATAAACTTGAATTCACAAAAATCAGGTTGCCTTAGGAAAAATAACACATTAAGACAGAAAAGATTCTTTCACCAAAAAGAGTAAAAAATTTCTGTAAACCCAAACAACCATAAAACTTTCTTCTACTTGTTTCAAATTGCTTTGATATTCCCTATGTTCAACTGGACTCTACCACAGAACTCCAAAATCAAAACTGCAATTAGCATCTGATGATGATCTGCTACTTTTCATACCCCTTACCCAAGTATCCTTAAAAGCACACACCCCATACTTGGAGAGTTGGTCCTCTAAAATCACTTTTTTACTTTGTTCATGTCAATCGAGGTATCTATGAAAAAGCAAAATAGTGGCTTTGAGAGCAAAAATAATAAAGCAGGATTTTTTCTTACACTCCAGTTCTAAAGTAATGATGTTTTTTCTGCCTTATGTACATTTGGAGGTCAGCAGAAAACCAGTGATACACAGAAATGTCATTACCCAGGTACATTATTGCCAGTCATAGCTCTCCATGCTATCAGCTGACTACTACAACCATGTTTTTTGTTAATTCAAGTTTGTTGTTTTGTTTTTCTTCCAAGAAGGGTGAGCGATTCCCAATAGCTTTTCCTTGTAAAATCTTAATATTAGACCTTGAAGCTTCAAATAAAACTATACCTATATAAAAGCTTCAATTAAAAGCTTAAATATTTATAACCATCAAAATGAAAAATCAACTATTACAGAATAAGAAGCTGACTCAGACAAATGAGTTTTTCAAATAATATCAAAGATATAACACTATATTAACTCAAATACATTATTGCTTCATTCTTCAAATTTTAGCAATAAATTTCATCAGTATATTAATATAATTAGAAATAACAAACGATACAAAATAATATTCAAAGAGTAAAATATTACAGCCTAAGTTATTCTCATTTTCTCCAAGTTTTGTTTATTTATTTATCCTAAATATAGAGCAAATTACTTCTCCATACACCACTAAAAGAGGAGAGGTAATATATAAAAGAGTAGTTCAAAGTGGTTGTGCTCGTTTTGGCTGGGGTAGAGTTAGCTTTCATCACAGTGGCTGGTATGGGGTTGTGTTTTGGATTTTTGCTGAACACAGAGTTGATAATACAGAGCTGTTTTTGCTATTGCTGAGCAGGGCTTACACACAGCCAAGGCCTTTTCTGCTTCTCATAACTGCCATGCTGGCAAGGAAGCTGGGGGTGTGTGGGAGGTTGGAAGGAGACACAGCCAGGACAGGTGATCCCAACTGACCAAAGGGATATTCTAGACCATGTGACATCATGCTCAGTATATAAAGTGGGGGGAAGAAGGAGGAAAGGAGGAATGTTTGGAGTGATGGCATTTGTCTTCCCAAGTAACTGTCACATGTGATGGGGCCCTACTCTCCTGGAGATGGCTGAACACCTGCCTGCCCATGGGAAGCAATGAATACATTCCTTGTTTTGCTTTGCTTGTGTGTGTGGCTTTTGCTTTCCCTATTAAACTGTCTTTATCTCAACCCATGAATTTTCCAGCTTTTACCCTTCCGATTCTCTCTCCCATCCCCCTGGTGGGGGAGTGAGCAAGTGGTTGTGTGGAGCTTGGTGGTGGCTGGCTGGGGTGAAACCACGATAGTGGCTTACACTGAAAGAAAATTTTGACTAACCTAATAACAGAAGTATCTCACACTCTTGGGATATGTTTCACATACTTTTTCTTGTTAAGAGCACTCCAAAAATGCTTTTTTGAGTGCTAAATGTAAGAATTCCAGTGAACACAAGATTATTTTTTCTTTTAAAAACACAGACTGGTTTGTAGTTTCTATATCAAATATGAGCGTTTGTCTTACAGACAGTACAATACTACAGAAAGCAGAATACTCACCAGTTTCCCCATCTTTGAAATCCTGCAGCTTGAAGTATATGTACAGCAAACTGACAGATATATACAAAGAAGAACACAAAGAACCTGAATGAACTGTCACTCCTGAAAGAGGGGGGGGGGAAATTAATGCAGCCAGGAAATTTATTACTTTTTACATATATTGTAGTACCAACCTAAATTTTTTTTCTGCATTAACTAGAGGAAAAGTGCTTTTATATTTTATTGATGGTGACTTGAAATATCAGCAATTCTGTGGGTTTGTAGAGTGTTTATTTATAAGAACTGCTGCTACTTCTTTAATATAGTACTTTTGCCACTTGCACCTCTAACAGAGGCAAGACTAAAAAACAGCCAGATACTATTTCTTAGTGTTCCGTTCAGCACACAGCAGGGCCTCTTAGACTAAACATACAACTTTTGCTACAATGCATTAAGAACAAAAATCTGGTCCACTTTCAGACTGAAGTTCACAGTGCTGGCATGATGAGAAGAAAATATTTTACTTGTAAGAGACAATAAAATCTAATATGGAATTACTGAAACACAATTCAGATCAGAATACTGAAGCAGCTGTTGTTTTAAAATAAAATATACAAAATGTTTGCTGTTTAAATTACTAAAATGCTACCCTGACAAAGATGGAAAGCATTAAAAGCCTGTGAAAAAAACCCCAAATATAAACATACAGGCAGAATCTCAAAGACCTCAATGTATTACTATGAAAATTAATGACTGCATGATATACTTTCTACCAAATTTCTAAAGGAATTAAAAATCACTTAAGTCAGTGAACCAGAATTTGCCAGTAATAGCTCTTTCTGCAGAAGGGAATTTGTTAATTTCTATTTATTCAACAAATTCAGTTCAATGACTATTTCAGTTGAACAAATGATTGAAAGTTGAATATGCAAGTAGTAGTTTTCCTTTTCCAAACAATAAATATTCACTAAGAAATGCTAAGGAAATCTAAAACCCTGAAAGATCACATGACACTGAACTCCACCAAATCAGGAATAATTATTTCATATAAAAGAACACTACTAAGAGAGAATATGTAGGATTTATGATGAAAATGAAATGCTATCAATTAAAAATACTGGTGACTCTCTGCTAAATACAGCAGGATAATCACCTCTCTTGACTGGCTGGTTCTACTGTGTTTGATGCACCCCAGAATGCAGTTTGCCTTCTTGGCTGCAAGGGCTCACTGCTGACTCCTATTGAGCCTGGTGTCGACCAGCATCCCCACATCCCTTTCTGCAGGGTTGCTCTCCAGCCACTCCTCTCACAATTTATACTTGTGTCCAGCATTACTCTGTCCCAGGTGCAGGATCTGGCAATTGGACTTGTTAAATTTTATGCCACCAATGGTTGCCTGGTGCTCCAACCTATCTAGATCCCTCTGCAAGGTCTATTGTCCCTTGAGAGAGTCAACAGCACATCCCAGTTTAGTATCATCAGCAAACTTGCTAATGGTGCATTCAACTCCTGCATCCAGATCATTGATAAAAATATTGAACAGGACTGGCCCCAGAATTGAACCCTGAGGAATACTGCTAGTGAATAGTCACCTGCCAGATGCAGCCCCATTCACTACAACCCTTTGAGCTCTGCCCTTCAGTCAGCTCTTCACCCAGTACACCATGAACTTGCTCATCTTGCAGTTGGACAACTTGTCCAGAAGGATGCTGTTTGGGACAGTATCAAAAGTCTCACTAAAATCCAGAAAAACTACATCCACTGCCTTCCCTTCATCCACTAGGTGATTGACTTTATCGCAGAAAGATATCAAATTAGTTAAACAGGACTTTCTCTTTGTGAACCCATCTTGACTGTGCCTGATGATTGCATTATTCTTTAAATGTCTTTCAACAGTACCCAGTATGACCTCGTCCATAATTTTTCCAGGAATTGAGATTAAACTAACAGATCTGTAGTTCCCTGGGTCTTCCCTCATGCCCTTTTGTAGATTGGAATAACACTGGCTAGCTTCCAGTCAGCAGGGACCTCCCCAGACTCCCAAGATCTTTGGTAGATGATCGAGAGGGGTCCTGCCATAAGATGCAGTAGGTCCTTCAGAACTCTGGGACAAATCTTGTCAGGCCCCATGGACTGATGAACATTCAGCTGATACAGTTGGTCCCTTACAATTTCAGCGTCTACAAATGGAAAGTCACTGTTCCCACACTCATGGTCCTCTGACTCAGTATTTTTAAAGACTGAGACAATAAAAGCATTTTATATCTCTGTTTTTTCTTTATCCCTGTTATTCAAATGACCATCAAGTATTGGTCCAATGTTTTCTTTAGCCCTCCTCTTGCTATTGACATACTTAAAGTCCTTCTTGTCTGACAAAACACTGGTCAGTTTGAATTCTAGCTCAGCTTTGGCATTTCATGTCTTCTCCCTGCATATGTGAACCATGGCTCTGTAATCTTCCTGCTAAGCCTGACCTTTCTTCCAGAGATCATACAATTTCTTTTTCCTCTTGAGTTCCACAAGGAGCTCCCTGTTCAGCCAAGCTGGTCTTCTGCCCCACTTGCTTGGCTTTTGACACACTGGAATTGCCTGCTCCTGCACTTTTAAAATGTGGTTCTTAAAAACTGACCAGCACTTGTGGACTCCTAAGCCCTCAAAATCAGGATACTCTGCTAGGTAGTTCCCTGAATAGCTTAGAACTCTGCTGACCTTTTTTCTCATTACACTGAAAATTTTAAATTCAGCCATGGTCATTGTGGCCAAGACAGTCACCTACCATCACATCTCCCATGAATCCTTCTCTATTCACAAACAAGTCTAGGAGGGCATCTTTAATAGTGGACTCCCTGAGTCCTTGTGTTAAAAAGTAAGCTTTCACAAACTTCAGGAATTTCCCACACTTGTCTGTCACAGCAATATGGTATTCCCAGTTGATGCCAGGGAAGTTGAAATCTCCCATGAGGACAAGGGCCACTGATCCAAAGATTTCTACTGCCTATAGAATAACTCATCAGTGCTATCATCCTGTCTGGGCAATTGGTAGTAGACACCCACTAAGACATTTCCTTTATTTTGTATCCCTCTAATCCTCACCCACATCATCACTAACTGTAAGGGCTGTAAAATCAAACCTCTCCCTTACATACAGTGGAACTCCTCCTCTGCCTCGCCTGTCCTGCCTATCCCTCCTGAACAGCCTGTAGCCCTCCATCCCAGCACTCCAGTCGTGGGACTCATTCCACTAAGTCCCACTAATACCAATGATATCACAGCTCTGGGAACTGATGCTTCAAGTTAATCTTACTTGTTTCTCATACTGCATGCATTGGTATACAAACATTTCAGATGCACTCCTGGACCTTCAGTGCTCTCAGGAGTAAATAGTTTTAAAATATTTTAAAGGATAGTCTATGATAATCCTAACCACTGCCATCGACATTTCAGATACACCAACCAAATTAATGGCAAATGTTCTATTTGTTTCTAATGAAATTATATTGAAGGATTATCTTAATGATAAACAAGCAAATTCTGGAATGTTCATGCATTTCAGCAAAGTGAAGTATTTTTAAAAAATATTTTAAGTCAAGCTGAAGTTCTTACCTGAAAGCTCCATAAAGTGGTCTGTACCAGCAGACAAAAGAACAAGGGGTAAAAAGCAAGAACCAGAGGATACTCAATCCAAAATCAACCCCTCGTGTAGCATCAATGTAAAACCAGGCCAAACATCCAAAGATATTAAGAAACAGTGTCACTGTATGGACTGCAGAAGCATAAGCAAAAGAAAGTCTTAATTATGTTCATATAATAAATTATTACAATTGTTAAGGTAATACCCAAAACGTGCATTTTTAAACAAAACATAAGCATGTTGACAATAAATCCTCTCTCAGCAATACGCTTGTTTTTATAGTTTTCTAAGTTTCAGGTTAAAGCAAACGTTTGCAACTGAAAGTAGTGAACATGAAAATTCAAGTAATATCAGGTGTATAGCAAGGAAAAAAAATCTGTCAAAATATTTTCAAACCTGAAATGAAAATGAGGCTTCTACAGTTGCAATAACTGATACTTATTCTACAGTAATTACTGGATAGATATTTGTACTTTTTTGAACATGCTAGTTAATTATTTTTTCTTACAATCAGGCAAGTAAATTAGTGCAGGACTGTCAGCCTTAATATTACGATACAAAAGGAAAATTAAAAAAACCCCCACCCTTTTAATGAAAGGTCTTTGTCTTACATGTAACAGAGCAAAAAAAATCAGCTAAGTAAAAAGGCTTCTCAGTAAAACAAGATCTGCAAGAAGCTGTTCTAGAACCTTTAATACATATTGAATACTCAAATATTTCTTATAATATTGGTCTTAAAAATCTGCTTTTTTGGTGCTCAGCTTAGCTCAATACTGACATTTTCTCATTGGCAGACCTTGTTAATGGTTAACTACTGAATTTCTACTAAAGAAAATGCATTGGCATTACAACTTCGCAGTTTACTTGAAATATATTTATCTCTTGGAACAAAAAAAGATACAACAGTAGTAAGAAACATTACAACTACTATTTTCATGCTATCTGGCACAAAAGCTAGTTCTGCCAGACTTAAAATTTTAACATGAATTTCTGTCTTTGTTCAGCAACAACCAGGGATTCAGAAGTGATTTCGTTATATCAGAGGACAGTTTCTGTCCTTGTGGACCAGGACAAAATAGAGTATTTATGAATGAGAGTGCATAAGCAGCTCCTTACAGGAATGATTTATTATTTAACTCCACATAAACACTCTAGTTATTCTACTGGAAGTTAAAGTTAACAGAAGAATCATATAATGATTTTGGTTGGAATGGACCTTTAAAGGTCATCTAGTCCAACCCCCCTGCAATGAGCAGGTGTTCCATCCCTCTGATCATTTTCATGGTCCTTCTCTGGACCTGCTCCAACAGGTCCATGTCTTTCCTGAACTGAGGACTCCAGAGCTGGATGCAGTACTCCAGGTGAGAAGAGAGAATAGAAGAGCAGAATCACCTCCCTTGACCAGTTGGCCATGTTTCCTTTGATGCAGCCCAGGATAGGTTTGGTTTTCTGGGCTGCGAGCGCATGTTGCTGGCTCACGTCCAGCTTTTCATCTGCCAATACCCCCAAGTCCTTCTCTGCAGGGCTGCTCTCAATCCCTTTATCCCCCAGTCTGTACTGATATCTGAGATTGCACCAACCCAGGTGCAGGACCTCGCACTTGTGTTGTGGTTTAACGCCAGCTGGCAACCAAGCCCCACACAACCGCTCACTCACTCCTCCACAGTGGGATGGGGAAGAGAATCAGAAGGGTAAAAGCTAGAAAACTCATGGGTTGAGATAAATGCAGTTTAATAGGGAAAGCAAAAGCCATGTGCACAAGCAAAGTAAAACAAGGAATTCATTCACCACTTCCCATCGGCAGGCAGGTGTTTCTCATCTCCAGGAAAGCAGGGCTCCGTCATGCATAATGTTTACTTGGGAAGACAAATACCATAATTCTGAACATTCCCCCTTCCTCCTTCTTCCCCCAGCTTTATATGGCAAGCATGATGCCATACGATATGGAATATCCCTTTGGTCAGTTAGGATCAGCTGTCCCAGTTGTGTCTCCTCCCAACTTCTTGTGCACCTCCACTCTACTCTACTGGTGGGGCTGTACAAGGAATAGAAAAGGCCTTGACACTGTGTGAGCACTGCTCAGCAGTAACAGAAACATCTCTATATAATCAACCCTGTTTTCAGTGCAAATCTAAAACATAGCCTCATACCAGCCATTGTGAAGAAAATTAACTCTACCTCAGCCAAAACCAGCACAACTTTGCCTTGCTGAATGTTGAGGAATACATCTAGCGCAGGCAGCTCCATGTGCAAGCTGTAGTGCAAGCTGCAAATTGCGTGCTAGGTGGGGGGAAATGGTTGGAGTCCCAGGCAACAAGCCATGAACTAGTACTGACCCTTTGCAAGCAGGGAAAACAGACCTGCTATGATCAGCCAGGTGGCTGGTCACCCAGAGACTCTGCAGGAGCCAATGAACAATGAGAAGACCCCAGCCTACATATCACCATTGGATTGGGTGCACAGACTGTAAGACTATAAAAGCTCAGGGATTCCTCCCTGGAGGTACTAGTTCAAGCTGTTATATTGTGGCAGCACAATTAAAACACTTAAAGGAATCAGATGTCTGAGACTGCTACAGGAAATGTAGGGTCAAGCTAGTAAGGGAAACATGTCTGACTGTGTGAGTGTGATGTGTGTAGGGAGTCAAGCAGGGCATGCGTTGGCTCACTGGAACCACTCGCTGTGAAGGGGCTTCAGTCCTAGTAGTTACAAGTCTGAGGTGGTGCAGGTGTAACTCCCAGAGTGGCTCCTGAATGGTCAGATGGGAAAGTTTCCTTAACATTGAACCTCATGAGGTTCCCATGGGCCCACTTCTCGAGTTTGTCCAGGTCCCTTTGCAACATCCTGTCCCCAAGGCATGTCAACCACACCACTCAGTTTGATGTCATCTACAAATGTGCTGAAGGTGCACTTGATTCCACTATGTCATTGATGAAGACATTAAACAGGACTGGTCCCAATACAGACCCCTGAGGGACACCACTGGTCACTGATGTCCATCAGGACTCTGAGCCGTTGACACCTACTCTCTGGATGCAACCATCCAATCAGCTCCTTATCCACTAAATAGTCTACCCTTGAAATCCATCTCTGTCCAATTTAGAGAGAAGGATGTTGTGGGGAACTGTGTTAAAGGTTTTACAGAAGTCCACATAAATAACATCTGTAGCCCTTCCCTTGTCCACTGATGCAGTCACTCCATCATAGAAGGCCACTACGTTTGTCAGGCAGGACTTGCCCTTGGGGAAGCCATCCTGGTTGTCTCGGATCACCTCCCTGTCCTCCATGTGCCTTAGCATAGCTTCTAGGAGGATCTGTTCCATGATCTTCCCAGGCACAGAGGTGAGGTTGACAGGTTGGTAGTTCCCAGGGTCCTCCTTTCAACCCTTTTAAAATATGGGTACAATGTTTCCCTTTTTCCAGTTGCCGGGGACCTCACCTGACTGCCGTGACTTTTCAGATATCACGGATTGGTTTGGCAACTACATCAGCCAATTCCCTCAGGACTCTGGAATGCATCTCATTGGGTTCCATAGACTTATGTACGTTCAGGTTCTTCAGGTGGTCATGAACCTGATCTTTACTTACAGTGGGAGGGACTTTGCTCCCCCAGTCCCCATCCTGGTGTCCACTCATTCGAGAGGTGTAGGAAAAGAGGTTGCCATTGAAGATTGGGTCAAAAGAGTTGTTCAGTAGCTCAGCCTTCTCCTTGTCCATTGTTACCAGTTTGCCAGCCTTGTTCATTGCATTGTACACTTTCTTTGACCTTCCTTTTCTGGCTGACATAGCTGTAGAAGCCCTTCTCATTATTCTTTGCATCCCTTGCTAAGATCAGCTCCAGTTGTGCCTTTGCCTTCCTGACCCCATTCCTACACAACCAGACTGTGTCCCTATACTCTTCACAGGATACCTGTCCTTGCTTTCACTGTCTGTGCATTTCCTTCCCATCCTTTAGTTTGATCAGTAGATCTTGACTCACCCTTGCCAGTCTCTTGCCTTCCTTGCCCGATTTCTCACACTTGGAGATTGAGAGATCTTTTGCTTTACTGAAAGAATGCCTTAAGATCTGCCAGCTCTGTTCTGCTCCCTTGTCCCTGAGGGTAGTTTCCTAGGGGATTCTATTGACTAACTCCTTGAAGAGCTGTAAGCTTGCTTTCCTAAAATTATGGGTCCTAACTTTACTCTTCATCAGACTCGTATCCTTCATGACTGCGAACTCCACCAGTGCATGCATGATCACTGCAGCCCAGGCTGCCTTCCAGCTTGACGTCCCTGATTAGCTCACTTGTGTTGGTGACCAACAGGTCCAGTAACGCATCCCCTCTGGTAGGGTTGTCTATTACCTGGGTCAAGAAGTTATCCTCCATGCATTCCAGGAGTCTCCTGTATTACCTACAGCTTGCCATGCTACTTTGCTAGCAAATGTCAGGGTAGTTGATGTCCCCCAGCAGGACGAGAGCCTGTGAGTGCAATGCCTCCTGTAGCTAGAGCAAGAAGGCTTCATCAATAGGTTCCCTTTGATCAGACAACCTGTAGTAGACACCAACCACAAGGTTCCCTTTGTTGCCTCGGTCTCTGATTCTTACCCATAAGCTTTTGACCTGCTTGTGGCTATTCTTCAGAGACAGCTTGACAAAGAGGGCAACCCCTCCACCCCTCCTTCCCCTTCTGAACAGACTGTAGCCATCAGTAGCTGCACTCCAGTCATGGGATTTATCCCACCAAGTTTCAGCAATGACAACTAGGTTGCAGCTTTCTAGCAGCACGGTGCCTTCCAACTCCTGTTTGTTGCCCATGCTGCATGCATTGGTGTAGAGGCACTTCAGCTGGGCTGTCAGCCATGTCACCTTCCTTGAGAAACACCCCTTAATTCCTTTGAGATATTTCATGGGTGTTTCCCTGTTGGCTCTTATTACCTCAGGAGACCCTGGCTCATCTCCATAATGCTTCAAGTGTGCTCCAGTGTACCCAATACATCTTAGAGCAACAGGCTGAGGTTCCTTGCTAGCACCCCATCCCTCAAACCTTGGTGCATTGTCCCATGGCTTGCCATGGGCAAGCCTGATATTATCCCCCTCCCCTTTCATGTCTAGTTTAAAGCTCTGTCAATGAACCCCACTAGCTTGTGAGCA